AATAAAACTGCTCTGTAATCATAAGGTTTGAGATTTTGCTATGGCTTTTCGGGTGCGAAAACTTTTCGGGACCTTCGAGAAACGGGCCCCTGGATTCCGGGGAATCCCCCTTAGACTGTTTCAGTATACCTGAATTTTACGCAATTTGTGAATCGCAACGTTACAAATCTAGGTACAAAGTTGTATTCACCAAGTTTGAAGAAAATAGCTCGGCTAGAAGACGCTGAGTTAACTTTCTAATTGTCCATACATTTATTCTCTAAATTTGCCCAGGTAGACGCGGTTCGCGGGAAAAAAATTACAGACAATTGTATGGCGCGCGCTTTCACCGTTAGTTTTTACTTTAAATTGTATGGAAAACTGCAAAAATTAACTGAGCGTCTTTTAGCAAAGCTACATCCTTCAAACTTGGTGAATACAATCTTCTACCTAGTATTTTAACGTTGCGATTCGCAAATTGTGTAAAATTCAGTTTTTGAAAAAGTTATTTGCCATCGAATTCCCATACAAACACTGTAATTTCTAACCGCTTTGCCTACCCGTCAAGATGGCGTCAAAAACGTGACAAGGCCTATCCATATATAGAGTAGCATTTGATTAGGTGTCACTGGGCATGGGGCTGGGGGTGGAAAGGGCAGATGGAGTACGTCTAAGGGAAGCAGCCCAACCTTCCCCCATCACCTCACCTAAGCAGATATTTGGGACCAATGAAAGTTAAAATGGGAGAAAACTGGTGTAAGGAAGATTTTCTTTTCCATGGACCCGATTATATGCCCTTGGGATTTCAAAGATAAACTACGTACTTTCTTGTAAGTTGTTCCAGTCAATGCCACTGAAGAACTGGTGACATACAAGTCCTTCATAACCAATCCTTGCTTTACTATCAGTGCACAAGTTGAGAATCAAATCCTTTGCACTCTTGCTGACCTGAGCATCCTTAAAAAACTGCAGGGACGTCTGAAATGAATTTTAATACCGTGAAATAAAAAAAAGAGTTCAAAATTTTAGGTCATATGCTCTGTTAATAATTTATATTGTCATGTGCAGTTCCAGAAAAATCCATACTCCCCCCACAGGGGGGAATGGAATTTACTGGAGGTGCTGGGGATTCTGTAAGACTAAAAAATTAAAGAAATGTATGAAGCTTCATTGGAATTTCCAAAGGGGCCAGGGACCGTCTTATCCCTCCCAAGGGGGAGGTGTGGAGTGTGGATATTTTCTGGAACTACACATTCTAGCATGAGATATATGTACCGTCTTGTATTCACAGTTGAGTTCTAAATTCCAATTTAGGCAGCCTGAAGTAATAAGTCATGACAGATGGCTGGTGTCTATATTTCCCAGCCACTTGTCGGTAAACAGTGGATGAACCAGCAACTCTGACATCTCAGCTCCACCTTCGACCTCAAAGTCAGACTATCTAGTACTGCTCATTTCATCTCTAGTAGATTTATCAAGTTTTGATTTGTCATCTTTTTCTGTGATAACATCTGCATAAAATTTAATTTACCTTGTAATTCATTATTTTGCTGTAAGTTATCACAACAGAGTCTGCCTCAAAGGGTGTCTGTCCACAGAGCATCTCATAAGCAACCACACCCAGCGACCACCAGTCACACTCCACACCATACGGACCTCCTGATCCATCCATGCTGGTCAATACTTCAGGGGCTATGTACTCTGGAGTGCCTACAGGCATCTTACTGTGCACCTAAATTGACACAGTCATATAATAATTTATGTTGATCGAGAGTAGCACACTGGCCAAGACTGAGTACAGAGAGAGAAAGGAGGGGCAGAGAGGGGGTGTATAGGGGTAGTACAGGGCTGTCAATAAGGGCAAGCAGCTGTTATGGCTGAGCATGCTTGATGGACCCTTGATGTTAAGGGGAACTTGCTTGTACATGTAGTTGACACAATTCACCCATAAAGTAACAAGTTTGTTATGGATGTGAAGATCAAGACTACAGATAAATCAAAACTTAATGACAGCCCTGTAGTTTGCCATGCAATGTGAGAGTAAGCTGCCTCCTCGAAGAACCAAGAACTGAGCCAAGACTTCTCATTCCGGATCAATGTTTAGACTACACATAATATGTAAGACAAAACAGCATGCATGATCAAAGAAGACTCAAACTAATGTCAGTAATACCTTCTTGTCAGCTGAGAGCCTGGCTGATGAACCAAAATCAGCCAATTTAATGTGTCCAGTTCGATCAACAAGAACATTGTCAGGCTTGATATCCCTTGTGAAAAGGCAAACCCAGAAAAAATTAACTATGAAATCAATACTGTAACAATGTGTTATACTGAAAGCTATGTGTGGCCAGGGCTGTCATTAAGGAGTCAGTGTAACCCATAACACCTGTTATGTCTGAAAATGCTTGATTTTTCCTTAATGCAGGTTATTGATAGAATTCACCCACAAAGAAACAAGTTTGCTACAGGCGTGGAGAACAAGGCTACTGGTACCTCAAAAATTAATGACAGCCCAGGTAGTTATTACTAGACCTACATTTGTACATGTACAGACATGTAAACAAGACAGTTGTCTCAGTCAAAGTGTAATAAAAATGTTAATGGTCCAAAAGGTTACCTGTGCACATAACCTAACACATGCAGGCTGTGAATAGCCACAACCATCTCTGCCAGATAAAACCGTGCAACATCCTCCTCCAGGACATCATCATACTTGCTTAGCAGTGACAACAGATCGCCGCCAGGGTGGTACTCCATCACAAGGTACAGATTGTGGATATCGTGAAAAGCATACTGCAGTGCTGTTATCCATGGGTTATTGCACAGTGCCATTATTTCTCTTTCTTCATCATAAAAGGCAACCTTTATTTCAAAGATCACACAGTAGGATTTCAGATCATAATTTTGGAACTACATTGTGCATCACTATTGATGTAAAAAGGCTGTACTGGAAAAGATTCAAGATGAATGGCTGAGAACAGTGGGGTGCATGTATAGCATGCAGTTGACAAGACTGAAATATCTCCCCATCTAGCAAGATGAACAACAAGTCACTTGTCTATGTGGTGGTTCAATGTAGCCTGTTCCTAGCTCTCCATCAATGGGGATGATCCAAAAAGCAGGCTGGTGAGGAGCGGGGTCTGGAAGAGAAAAGGAGTGAACAGGACCCCGCTTGTCGCCCGCCTGCTTTTTCGATCGACCCCAGTGACCAAGAGCCTGGAACAGGCGAGGTTCAATGCTACCTTTAGTACAATTTGATTTTTTCAAATATGTTGGCATACACCAGAACAAATGAAAATGTCAAACCATAACAATGGTAAAATTGAACCATAACATGAAGTACACAACAAGTTGAATTGTTCTCACTGAATGAAAAGCTGAAACACACCAAGGACTGGGTTGCCCATAGGGCAATGTGCCTCCTGCATGCATTCAAAGCCAAAGTGAAAAGTCGAAACAGCTTCAAACTA